ACCCCCCCCCCCCCCCCCCCACACACACGGTGCTACGAGCACTCCCCCATCCATCCATCCATCCACTGTCTGTCTGTCTGTCTGGCCTCTCCGCTTCCCTCTCGCCTGTTCACATGTGGTCGCCGAACGAACTCGCCCAAAGCACTTTCACATGCCTGAAGGAACGCGTTCGTCGATCCCACGTTAACAGGACAGAAAGGGTGGCGGAGTGGCGCCGGAGTCATTGCGGGGTATGGAGTGTAGCAAATGGAAGCAGGTCTCAATTCTCGTGTGTGGTCCCACCCTGTGTCTCTCTCACACACGTGCATTCGTCCATCATCAAGTCAAGGAGACCGAGTCGTCAAGTCAGTCAGGGTAAAAAATGAGTTGAGAAAAGGAGGTAGGGATGGAGGGAGGAAGGGAGAAGGGGTCATTGTTGTGAGGACCAACTCACACACGCACACACACACACACATATACACACACGGAGAGATGCAATGCACCCACTCACTCACTCACTCACTCACCGTTGTCTACAGGACTCAAATGTCCGCTGCATCCTGCCCGGCCCTCCCCTCACCCCATCAGCCAGGCAGCAAGCCAATACACGGCAGCACACCAATTGACGGCCGGTCCTTTTTTTCACTCATCTGGCCAGTTCCGCTGTACACACAAGGGGCCATAGCCATCAGAGGTCATCATACGATAGCGAGAGAGAGAGAGAGAGAGAGAGAGAGGGGGGGTGAGGCCCTTCGCAGCCGGCCACTGCACCAATACGTCCTGGACGTTAAACGACGCCGATCTCTGTCAAGGGATCGCCAGCCGATTCACGCCGTGGGGGCAGAGGCACAGCGGCCGGCCGACCGACTGGCTGCACAGAACACAAACTGAAGCAAGTTGTACGTGTGTGATGTGATGTGACGATACATACGATGGATGGATGGACGGACGGCTGGCTGCCTGTCTGTCTGTCTGTCTGTTCCACCCACTTCTCCCCTACCGACGTCTCTCTCCATGCGCTCTCAGCCACCGACCGTCGGCTGAGAGCGCATGGCTGCCTGGCCATGGCACCCAGACATCATTCGATGGCCCGTCGAGAGGAGAGGAAATATTGTGGGCGGGTGAGGTGAATCGACCGCCGTGCTCGATGAGAGAGAAAACATATACACGTAGGGAGGGATGATAGGAAAATTGCCCACGTGTTTGCTTTGGTGTGTGGGCCCAAGTACGCAGCCAGGGTAGAGTTAGTCAGTTGGTTAGTGTACATGTGATTGCTTGTGTCCACGGACGGCTTTCCAGCCCCGCC